TTCAGGGGAGAGCCAGGTTTCAGTTAGATCAAAAGATCAAGGGAGCAGTCAGAGCAGTTGGGGACATAGGAGTTTTATTGATAATTGACCACTTCATCATTTGAGTTTTTACACATTCTATTCTTTGCTTGGATTATCTTTTTAAAACAACTTTATTGAGGTATAATTCACATACCATAAAATTCAGCCATTTTAAATAGATGCTTTTTTTTTTTTAAGTAAATTTATTGACTTATGTAGCTATTTATCTCCCTGGATTATTTTTAACCCTCGTCCTGTGGGCAAGCATATACTCATTCTTCAGAACCCTTCTCAGGTATTCTGTCTTCTGAAAAACTTTTTCTGGTCTCCCCAGATAGGTTTGTATTGATTCTCTATTGTATGCATTCTACTATATATTCCCTGCTAAACCAAATTGAAACTGTGTTCATCTCCCCATGATACTGTGATCCCTTCAAGATCAGAAATTCTCTTACTTAATCTTACTGCTTAAGAACGTCTGACACATAGTAGCCATTCATATTTTTCAAACCAGTTTAAATAAACATGAGAATATGTAGGTAGAAACCAACGTTGAGAGTCATAGGTGGGCGCTAGAGAAACTGACAAGTAACTTCAATATTCAAGGAAATAATTATACCGTGTTTTCCCAAAAATAAGACCTAACCAGAAAATAAGCCCTACCATGATTTTCCAGGATGCTTGTAATATAAGCCCTACGTCAAACATAAGCCCCAGTTAAGATCATCAGCCAGACATGACTGTTTGAACAAATGTAGATTCAAATGAATAAATGTAGATTGTTGGAGCAAAAATTAATATAAGACCCAGTCTTATTTTGGGGGAAACACGGTATTAGTTACCCCAAAACTTAGTGGCCTAAAACAACAGAAAACATTTATTATTTCACACAATTTTTGTGGGTCAGGAATCTAGGTGTGGCTCAGCCGGGCAGTTCTGGAGGTTGCAGTCCAGATGTCAGCCAGGAACGCATCTGAGGGCTTGAGTGAAACTGGAGCATCTGCTTCTACGATAACTCAGTCACATGACTGGCAAGTTGATGCTGGCTTTTGGCAGGAGGCCTTAGTTCTTTGTCATGTGGATATCTCCACGGGCTGCCTGTGTCTTCTTAAGGCTCCTGTGTCTTCTTAAGGCTCCACGTGACCACTGGCTTCCCCCAGAGCAAGTGATCCAAGGGAAAGTAAGGCAAAAGCTGGAATGTCTTTAATGTCCTAGTTTTGGAAGTCACACTCCATCGTTTCCACAGTACTTTCTTGGTTACACAGGTCAGCTCTATTCAGTGAGGGAGGCAACAACACAAGCATGACTACCAAAAGGTGAGAATCACTGGAAGTCAGCTTAGAAGCTGACTATCATAGAATTTAATTATTTAAAAGTATAATAATATGTAGCATGCAGTTAATAAATATTTGAACAAATGAATGCAAAAGGAATAAAATTTTAAAAGAAAAGGAGTTGAAATAACTTGTGGTTAGAGTATTAAGGAATTAACAAGAAGTTTCTAAAAGCATTTCTTAGTAGCAGTTTAAGTTAGACAAAATGATTTTTTAGGCATTTTCATAGCTTTTTATCTGAAATGTTTTATATACTGTGTGTGTGTGTATTTTTTCTGCTTAGGATCAGTGAAAACTCTGCTAGGTGATCAACGGAAACAAATGCTCCAGAAATACAAAGAAGAAAAGCAACTTCAAAGGTTGAAAGAGCAAAGAGAGAAAGCTAAACGAGGAGTATTTAAAGTGGGTCTTTATAGACCTGATATGCCTTCTTTTCTTTTTTCAAACCAGAATACTACAAAAGCTGAGCCAAAACAGGTAAACTTAGTATCCTAATTTGATATAGAGAAATAGTTCTCGTTAACAGGAATTTTCTTCAAGAGATTACACTTGATTTTAGCCAAAAGGCCAAGAAGCAATTCCTTAAAAGATTACATGACTAAAATAACCCGTTCCCCTCAGTTCCCTTTATTCACTTAACTAATTGTTGGGAGGTGGGGATGATATAATAGTAGCTCAGAAGATGAAAATTGGGTCTCTCAGTGTAGCTACAGGTAGGCTGAGACAGGATAAAACTAGGAAAGTGAGTAGAGCCAGGCTGAACAATGAATGCTATGCCAAAGGATCTGACATGTGTCCTGTGGGATAGAGATAGTCGACGAAGCCTTTTAAATAAGGATGTACCATTATCAAATTAATCATGCAGGAAGATTCCCTGGCCTTGAAGATTAGAGTCTGGAAGCATTAAAGGATAGGAAGACTATCATGGGTGAGACAGGATAAGTGGACTGGGCAGCGTGTTTAAAAGGAATAAAATAGGTATAAGACACATTTAGAGATAAATTTGATAGGAGACCAAGTAGACAGTGAGGGGTAAAGGAAATTTAAGAGAGAGAAGATGATTCTGATGATATTAGTTTGAACAACTATATAAATTATGCTGCGGTTAAAAGAGATGAAGAAGGCAAGACCAGGAAACATGCTTAAGTAGGCACATTTTAATCCCTTCCCCTTTTTAAAACCTGTTTAGACCACCTAGATAATAGACAGTGGAATAAAATTTGGAAATCAGGATGGAGATCCATGCTAAAATGTGGTTTTAGGATATATTGGGAGTATGGATGGGTGTTCAAGCTGTAGGACTAAATGAGACCATTCCAAAAGGACATACAAAATTATGAGAGAGGAAAGTCTAGAGAGCACATTCAGGTGGGCAGAAATGAGGGACCAGTGATAGGCTGAGAACTGGTGAGAGTGGCAAGAGAGCTAAAATGAAGTATAGAAGCTAAGGGAGGGGTGATCTAGAGGAAGAGAATGATTAGTGAGTCAAGGATAAAGTGTGAACAGAGGACGTGGTTTTGTAAATTAGGTAGTCACTGGTGATTTGCTATTTTAAAGATATGTATAAAAGATCTCATTTTAAATAATAAGTTTAAAAGCTCTTGTTGACTGTATACTCATTCCTGATTTAAGTAAGAATTAAATAACATAAAAGACTAGGTGTTGCCTAGTTTTCTTTGCTTCATGAATCTCATTGATTCATTTGACAGGTCTTTATTTACTCTGTGTATGATCTTAGGATAATATAGAAGAGACCAGATTAATAGAATATAGCTTAAGGTGGAAAGATATAGATAGGTAAGTATATTCTATATACAAGTATGTTAGAGGAGAGAGAGATGTTTGTCTGGAGGAACATCAAAGAAGACCTCTTCCAAGAGGTTAGAGTTAACCTGGCTTTTCAAGAGTATGTAGGATACCAATCATTGGTCTAAATTGTAAACAACTATTTACAAAGTGTTACATGTAGGGGGAGAAAGAGACACATTATGTTACATAATAAGATTCACCAGTAATTACTTTTTATTCTACTTAGACAATAGCCATTGATGAATTTTGCTCCCTTTGTGCAAAAATCCAAGTTTCTTGAACATAGGTTTTCACTGAGATTTGGTGAAGAAAAGGGCTTCTCATTTGACGAGAAGTCTGATTATGCTTCTTAAGGAATTTTACAGAGTTGGTAAATGCCTTACCACTTTTGATCAGCCCTTCCCTTGTGAAATTTTTTCCACATTTTGCAATCAAACTTCCATTTTCTTATTGACAATTGACAAGAGCATAATCATGAGATTTGAAGGCGAATTGTCAACGCTAGGAAAGTAAGCTGTATAGTATCTTTTCATAAACACCAAAACATCCTAATACTCTAGTCTGTTCATGTATCCACTTCCAAATACATCCAGCTAATCATATTAATGAGGATTCCTAATACTTGGAAACATGATTTGAAATTTTTTCTTTCTCCTCACTGAGAAATATGAAAAAGTTTTTAAGCTATTAAACATAATTTAAATCAAACCAGAACCAGAAAAAATAGTAATTTAACAAGTATTTTTGCCATAAATGATTACAGATAAAGTTTAACTTTAAAATGAGAATTTTATTTCGTAATGACACATGGAAGTAATTTTGAGTTCTTTTTTTTTCTTTTTTTTGTGTGTTGTTTTTTGAGTTCATTTAAAAAAAAATATTTTATCTTCTTTTGACTGTTTTAAGGCTGTTCCATCTTTTGTACGGATGACAAGATCAAAGGCCAAAGAGCAAATGGAGCTAACTAAGGTATAGTTGATAGTAGATAATTGTTGCTAAAATGACAAATTTCCTTTCGTTTCTCAGAGTAAATAAATTCATTTTTAATCTAATATCAGCTTCAAGTACAGTGATTATTTTGCTAGAGTTAATAGTACCCAAATCACTGCTATTGGTATGGTGGCAGAGCAGTTTTGGCTAAATGCTAAGGAACTATTCACTTAAAATAGTCTTTGCCCAGGCATCCCTATGACATCAATACCAAGCTTTGTCTTTGTGTCATACTCTTTTTGTTTGTTTGTTTATTGGGTTTCTATTATGCATTTCATGTCACCATAAAATACAGATAGGACTGTAAAGCACATAAAGTGGATGTTATAAACTTATGAGTCTTCGAAACACCATTATAGATAAAATTATTAGGATTACTAAAATAAGATGAAGTGAGCAAGGGGGAAGTAGGATGCCTTTTTTTCAGGTGAGGTAGCTAAGTTTCATGTATTCAATAAAGTTTTAGTCACTACCATACTCTAGGCTCTAGGATATAGTAGTGAACAAAACCAAAATTCCCTTTTTTCATGTGAGATAGGCAACAAAATATGTATATAGTATGTCTGGTGGTCATAAGTATTACGGAAGAGATAAAAAAAGAGAGAGAAGGGAGATAGAGAGTACTCAAGTAGGTGTAGGGTGTAATTTTGACTGGGCCTCACTGAGATGGTGCCGTTTGAATGAAGTCTTTAAGGAAATGGAAGCGTGAACTATGGCAAAGAACTTTCTATCCAGGAGAAGAATTTTCTAGGTAAAATTCAAAGGTCTTGAAGTGAAAACATGCCTGGTATGTTTAAGGACTCTCAGATGATTATAGTCAGCTCTTTTTTTTTTTTTTTAATTGGGGAATTGGGGGATGGGAACAGCGCTGGAGAATTGGGGGAAGGGGTACAGACAAGTTGCTGTCCTTTCGTTCTTCAGTCTAGTTGTGGAGGACATTACTTCACTGGCCCATGTTGTTATTATCATTGCGCTCTTCCCGGGCGAGGCAGATCAGTCACCGGCTTCTGGACAGCCGCTCACAGCAGCTGCTGGCTGCTCACTCTGGCTGCTGGTTATACATGGCAGCCCAGCTCCAGGTTGAACTGTTGTTCAGCATCTTAGCTGTGGAGGGCAGTGTCAATAGCCTTTATATGTGGGATCCAAACCGGGGCCCTCTGGCGTCCCAAGCCAGCTCTTAACCAATGCGCCACTCGGCCGGCCCTAGCCAGCTCTTTTTAATAGCTTAGGTTATTAGCATTTTCTAAATTCTAGGATTCTAGAAAAAGCTTGTAAGAAAACTTATATAATGGAAAACTTTTTTCTTTATCCCATTTTATTTGGGGTAGTGGATTTTTTGCTGGGTCATTTATAATAGTCATATTTCAGATGACGGGTCAATTTACAGATTAAAAATGTGGCGGTTTGATTCATTATACTATTAAACACACAGCACCTAATCTTTTAAATAGATTAATAATAGGAATGAAGTTGGAGCAGCTCGACCTGGTCAAAGACAAACTTCTGAAAAGAAAGTGTTGGACAAAGAGAATAAAGGTAGGAATATTAACAATTATAAGCTCTGATGTTGCCATAATAATTTAACAATTACAAAAAGCATTTGATTTGATTGCTTTTTTTCCACAGCTGTGCACCCTGAAATACCCACATCAGTGAGAATGACTCGATCAGCTACTCAAACAGCAAAGCAGATTGCCAGAACAGCCTCATCTACAAGAAAGCCAATGACAAGAGCTACTGATGGTAAGAACTGTTTCTTGAGCAATGACTGAACTAGAATGCTTCAGTCTTTGAGGTTTTTTTGTGTTCAATTTTTTAAATCATCATGTCCTTCTTTGAGTAGGAGAGGAGAAAATGGGAGATTCCAGTTCTAAAGGTAGGTTCTGTGCCCCAACATCCAGGTAGCATACAGTGTGTGCTCAAATGTTGAAGTACCTGAATTGGTGTAAGCCATGCTTCAAAGTGAAAAATTAATAGCTCCAATAAATTACAGTCCATCCGTTTGGTGGACTACATAGTATAACCATTTAAGAATGTTATGAAAGAACATTTAATGACATTGTTCATGATATGTTAAGTGGGGAAAGAAAAACTGGTCAAAGCCTGAACAGTATGATCACAGTTCTAAAATATGTATGTGAATATGTGAACATAGGAAAAAACTGAAAAAATATACCCTGAAGGGTCAATGGTGATTATTACTGAGTAATGTAATCTTGAGTGATTTCTTTTTTCTTTTTTGATTGTTGTTGTTTTTATGCTTTTGTTTATTTTCCTAATTTTCTATAGTAAACATGTATTCGATGTTCAGAGGCAAAAGGTTAGCATTAACACCTTTGTTTTGCTTTGAAAACAGATAGCCTATGCTTGGCAGGAAATTTCATCTGTTTTTATCCTATTTTATAATATGACTTTTAATTATAAAATTCTTTAAGACATACATTCATATTGTTGCCCTTTTTTCCTTTCCCAAATTGCCTAGTACTTTTAATGCAGCATTTTCTGTCTAGTCAAAATGGATGACTTATTTTTATTTTAGATAATGAAGCAGAAAGAAAGGCAACAAATCAAGGGAGACCTGCCAAAAAGATAGAAACTAAACTTGACAAGGTAGAGTATAAACATCTGTTGATTTCTAGCTACTTTAAAAATCTCATTGCTACTTCCATAAAGTTGATATTAAGCATAGAGAACTGCTTTAAGATGTTAACCTGCATGTGTGTTAAAAACACTTCTTGAACCATAAAGAAGCATAAGAGGATTTACTGTTGTTCTTCAGGTATTTTATCCTCAGAGCTTTATAGGTAGAGAAAACATAATTCAGTTAACAAGAGATAGAAGAATATAATAAAAACACAGCTGACAGAAACCTTCATGTGAAAAAAAATTAGCTTTAATGGGGTAGGGTGAAATGCATTGACTTTGGATATAATTATGCCCGAAATTGAATGTTGTCTCTGTTTCCAATTAGCGATGTAACCCTGGGCAAGTTATGAGTTTGTTTCCCCATATCTAACATGTAATACCTACATAGACTAGTATTAAGAATTAAATAACCTAACATTTCTGATATCATCTAGCATAGCGCCTATAGTAGTCTTCAAAAAAGAGTCACCATTTTGAAGACCCAGTCCCTTGGTTCATAATTCATACTACATTTCCATATTCTTAAATAAAATAAAAAAAAGTTATGCCGATGTGTAAGAAACCTGACTAGATCCTTACCAAAAATCAAACATAGACCCTCCAGAGAGGCAATATAGGGTGAATCTTCACAGACAAGCAGCTGCACCTTGTAGCTCCTCGCTTGAGATTGATTTTCTTCTTAATGATTATCACTAGTTTTTTTTGTTGTTGTTGTTTCATTTGGTTTTTTTTTAGCTGAGCCACCCTGCCACCTGTTGGCAGCTCAGCGGCAGCTCAGCTCGGGCCAGGAATTGAACCGCTGTTGCTCAGTTGTTTTGGTGTGTTTTTTTTAAAAAGCAGATTTTTTTATTATGATGTTGATTATCACTAGTTTTTACGTTCACTCCCACGCTGGCCTCAGGGACGATGTTACTCTTAAACTCTTGTCCAGGTTGAAATACTCTGGTTTCAGCGTGTATCTTGTTAAAAATCAGAAACAGAAACCTCTAAAATTTATGTTAAAATGAGTGAGTGGGATGGGTGAAAGTGGTCAAAGGTACAAACTTCTAGTTATAAAATAAGTAAGTCCTGGAGATATAGCATATAGTATGGTGACTATAGTTAATTATACTGCATTGCATATGTGAAAGTTGCTAAGAGAGTAGATCTTACAAGTTCTCATTACAAGAAAAAAAAATTTGTAACTGTGTGGTGATGAATGTTAAGTAGACTTCTTGTGGTGATTATTTTGCAATATACACAAATACTGAATCATGTTGTATACCTGAAACTAATATAATGTTATATGTCAATTATATCTCAGTGGAAAAAAACCAAATTAACAATTAAATTGACTTGAAAACGAAAATATGCTTCATGTTTTTTGTGGTTAATCTTACTGTGTCATACTGAAAAATATTTTTGCTCATATGATAAGGGATTTGGTCCTTGACAATAGTAGTCATCCAATAAACACTGGATTCCTGACTCTCAAATGATTGTAACTATCAACATAATTTAAGTAAAAAGATATATGTTTGTTAGGTGAGTAAATTTTTCCACCTTAATTTTCATATATTTTGATTTGTTGTTAATACCTGAAACCTATTTATTTCTTTTAATAAGGACTGATTCACTTTCTTTCTAGATTATAGCACTGGTTTAGTGTTGCTGGTCTTCTGATTCTATATATACATTGAATTGTTGGGGTTTTTTTGTCTCTTAAATTATGTACATGGAACATATATCTCAACTTTTGCATTTTCAGCCTTGTAAAAATTGGTCAAATATATCCCCAGGAGAGAAATTCTCACTCTGTTTTGTTTTTACTCACATCTAGGTCATTTCTTTTCAAGTTGATAGTGAAGAAAATAATTTGCATTCACAAACCAGTGCAACAAATGGAGTGGATCCAGAAGGAGTCTTATCAAAAATGGAAAACTTGTCTGAGACAAAAACTGCAAAACTGAAAGGAAAGAATTCCTTTGCACCTAAAGATTTTATGTTTCAGCCATTAGATGGTCTGAAGACCTATCAAGTTACACCTATGACTCCCGGAAGTGCCAATGCTTTCTTGACACCCAGTTATACCTGGACCCCTTTAAAAGAAGAAATGTAAGAAAGTAATATTAATGAATTTTTTGCTAAGATAGATAACAAATGCCTTTCTTAGATTTGGCCTGTGCTTTTAAAAAGTTATTTAGTTAGTAAATGATGTCAATTATAAATCATGAAAATTTGGTCTTGTAAAAAAATTCTTCAGAAGGCTGCAATAATGTATTTGACAATTTTGATATTTTCTATGCATTGTTACTGTTATTTTCATGGTACAATTTGGGGTTTTTTTCTTTTAATAAGTGACTTTAATACTTAGAAGTAAATTTTTAGAAAGAAGAAATTGCTGTAATATAGTTCAGATATGATTTGGGTTTTTGTTTGTTTTTTTTGCTGAGTATTACTTTAGAAAAACTACCTCTAAAAACAAATGATTAACTTGCAGAGTTGGGGGGGGGCGAGGGAGGGGATCAGTTGGAATCTTATAAAAGAAAAGGACAAGGTTGTTTTGCAAAGAGATGGTAGCAGATTTACTAAAAACTGCTCAGCAGCATCCAAGTCTACTAAGTGCTTATGTTCTATTAAGAGAGCTTCAGAACCTTTGAATCTCATTACAGTTAGTAAAGATGAACATTCCCACTATAAGTATTTAAAACTCTTCCCCTGTAGAATAGACACATTAAAAAAAAAAAGAAACATTTCCATCTTATCCCAAGTTTTTATTATTATTTATTTATTTTAGATTTTTTATTGGGGAATTCGGGGAGGGGAACAGTGTTGGGGAATTGGGGAAGGGGACCAGCCAAGTTGTTGTTCTTCAGTCTTCGTTGTGGAGGGCGCCAGTCACCATCTGGCTTCCCGTCGGCAGCTTGTGGCCTCTAAGCTCAAGGTGGCGAGTTCAGTCTTAGTTGCAGGTGGACGTAGCCCACCGTTGAACAGGCAATCTTGTTGTTACACCAGCTGAGCCATCCTGCCACCTGTTGGCAGCTCAGCGACAGCTCAGCTCGGGCGCAGCGTCACTGGCCCATGTGGGAATCAAACCGGTGGCCCTGTTGCTCAGAGCTCGCATTCTTAAGCCAACTCTTAACCAACTGAGCCACTTAGCTTGCCCTATCCCAGGTTTTTAAAAAGCAACATAATTTTGAAATCTTTTAGTTATTTGGGGTTCATGTTTCATGAGGTATATATATTTTTGCTGTTGTTTTTAGTGATAAGACTCAAGAAGCAAGAAAAGAAATTTTGGCACAAAAATGTAAAACTTACTCTGCCAAGACAGTGCATCAAGATTCAAATAAATTACGACATCCTTTGGATTCTGTATCAGTTTGGAATAAAGGTATGGTATTGCAATTAAATTTTTTACTTGCTTTTCTGGATTATAATTTGTTAAGAGATTTAGTTTTAGAGCCCCCTCCTCCATATAGTTCAGGTATGTGATCCTCAGGGTCAGAAGAGATGGAAAAGCATGGAGAAAGATCGAGAGAATGAGTCGGAATGAGGAATACAGACTGATAAATGTAAATTTGAAGAGATGAAAATATTGAGAGACACTTTAGAAGAAGTGTGTTGAGTGAAATTGAGGAAGAAATAAAATTTTTAAATTCAACATTGAAAACATTGAATAATTTAAAACAATTTGTTTTAATGAAGAGGATGTCATTTTAGGAGTTGTTGCTTTGAAATTTATATGTAACATTTTCTTTAATCTATAGAAAATGTCTTAAGTAAAGATCAAACTACTACTAAAAATTCAAATGACATTCCAGTAAAAGAAGTCCCATCACTTGAAATAAATGAAGATCAAATATCTCAGCCACAGCATGATGTGCCATTTTTCAGGTTTGTGAATTTGTCCCTAGTGTAAGAATTTTATTTTAATGTCTACACATTTAAAACCAAAATTAAACTATTTTAACCTTAATATAATAGATGAATTTGAGGGGAACTGACTTTGGGTGATTTTTATTTATTTTTTTTTAATTTTAATTATTTTCAATGGCTAGTACATTCATGTGGTTCCTAATTCAAAGGTAGGAAAAGGTACAAGTGAAAAGTCTTTTTCCCAACTCTGTCTCCCAACTCTTCGAACCCCATGGTTCAAAGCTTCCATGGCAGCAAGTGTTATTCATTTCTTCTGAATACTTCCAGATACATAATTTATATGTAGACAAACATAAGCATACATATTTTTCTTTTTTTATGTAAATAATAACATACTATCCTGTTTTCATTTCTAATGTAGGAGACATCCCATTTTAGTCCTTGAAGAGCTTTCTCATGTTGTTTTGTGTGTGTGTTTTTAATGGCCACGTAGTATCCAGTTATATGGATGTGCCTAAGTTAACGTGATAGGTCTCTGTTGCTGGTTTATTTACATTGGGTTCATTCTATTATATTAAAATTAAGGCTTGAAAGAAAACCTTGTATGCTTTTGTGTTCTCTCCTGTGAAAAATCTATAAAGACCTAAATTTACATCCCTCCTCCCACGAGGTATGGGAGTTTCTATTTTCTCAAACCCTTTTTTCCCCCACAAATAAACCAAGTTAATATTTGTTTTACTAAAGAAGTATGTTGGGAGATGGTAGGAGGCTCTTTGGTTCACTAAATCATGAGATAGGATTATGTTTCTCCCAACTGTGAAGAACATTGGGGAACCTCAACCATGTCACCTAAATATCTTGGAAGTGACTCAGATGGCTGCAATTGGAGAAAGGCCCCAGCACTCCGCATCACACAGGAAATGGTTACATACCATTATCCCTGAGTGAATGTAGCAGGAAAACTCATACTTTTCCAATGCAATATTAACAATTTTTTGAGCTTTATCAATCAAATAGAGGAGAAATATTAACATATAGCTTTAATATTCATTTGCTCTATTCGGAATATCTTTAATATGTTTGAAAGCCATTTCTGTTGTTTTTAGAAAATGAGGTTTTAGAATTCTAAGGAATTTTAGAGATTAGCTAGTCCGTTGTATTGTTCAACTGAGACATTGAGATAGTAAGCAATTTACCCAACTAAATAATGTCAAATCCAAGCCAGGTCTCCTTTCTCATTAAGTTGTTCTCTGTTATGCCACTAGATGTAAACAACTGAATTTTTCTTCTAAGAAACAATAACTAGTCTCAGTTTTTCCTGCTAGGATGCTTTATATAAAGAAACAGATTTAATTTACTTTGGGCCAGGGTTTCTCAACCTTGGCACTATTGACATTTTAGATTGGATAATTCTTGTGGGGACTGCCCTCTGCATTATAAGATGTTTTGTAGCATCCCTGGCCAGTAGCACACTTCTAGTTTGTGACAATTAAAAATGCCTGCAGACATTGCTAAATGGCTCCCTGGGGGAAAAATTGACTCCACCTGAGAACCACTGTCTTTGGACAAGTAAAACCTAATAATTAGAATCTGTAAGGCCCTATCACTATAATTCCAGACTCAATAGTTTTTACCTTCAATTTACTCTCAGCAGTTGGATTGGTCTTGGTTCCATGGACAATAATGGAGAACTAATAACAGAACTAAAGAATGATGCTTTCTGTTCAACCTCTGAAAAATAACACTAGAAGCAACTAGACATATTAGCTTGAAAAGTGGGCTCTTGGCATTAACCATCCATATAAGTTTCAGGTGTAGAAGGATAGACATATATAGGGTATTAACTTATATTTATGTGTTTTAATATATTACAATTCATAAAATAAGTATCAACTCTAGGAAATTAATATTGTACAAATGTCATATTAATACTTAGATATTAGTGTGAGAAACATTTGTAAAACTGGAATGTATGTCATAATTTTAGAAATATTCTCCAGTCAGAAACTGAGAAATTAACTTCACACTGCCTTGAGTGGGACAGGAAGCTTGAACTGGACATTCCAGATGATGGTGAGGGAACATTTATTTTTTTTATATCTTATATTTATTTTAATATGGCTACATTTTTTTGAAACATCAAAATCTAGTGTTTTCCAACTTTATACTTACATTGTTATTCAAAATAGCAAGAATTTTTCGTATCTCTACATGTTTACTAATGTCTCTGTGCTAAAATGATGTATGACCTAAAATATGTAAATAGTTAGAATATTGACTATCAATCCTGGGAGTTAGACATTTGTCTATTTTAGTATTAGATTTTCTTGATATGACTTTATGAGTGACATCCATATCTGGTATTGCTTAATTATGCAAAATTAAAATTACCTAAATCAAATGGAACAGATTTCCTGAAAAGTTCCTTAATCTTATTTGGGGGAGCTGTTTAGAAAAAATCATTTGTGTGCTGTCAGTGTGAACCCCTTCTTAAATACTGATGTGCAATGAGTTTTTTGAGGTTAAATTCTTATAAAATACAAGGAGAGGTAGTATGTTATTTGCTGTTTAAGTAGACATACACCAATCCACATCATTAAATATAATGAGAATGAATATTGCTAATTTTTATCAATAATTAAAGCAGATAGTTTATGCTCAGTATTTGTATGACAACATTTTGTAGTAGATACTTTTTGTTTTGTTTAAAGGTAAGAATTTGATTCTGTAAGCCCTGGGATATTTGGGGTAAGATGTTCTCATCAGCTGGTTGGCTTGCAATAAAGGTCTTGTTTTGTCCTTTAACTCTTAAAAACCTCTTATTTCATTTAGCTAAAGATCTTATTCGCACAGCAGTTGGTCAAACAAGACTCCTCATAAAAGAGAGGTTCAAACAGTTTGAAGGACTAGTGGATGATTGTGAATATAAACGAGGTAAAAAGGAGACTACCTGTACAGATCTGGATGGATTTTGGGATATGGTTAGTTTTCAGGTATGTGGTCAACTGTTTTGAATACAATAACTTTTGAATCTGTTTTTTTAAAACGAGATATTAGACATATTAAATGAGATGTTAGACAGCACCTTTATAAACTATAAAATACTGTCTAAATTTTATGACTGATATCCCCATCTCCCCCATATTGTCAAGATAATTTCTATATGGCTTTGAAATGGTGGTTATATTTAACTGTTGAAGAGTCTGTTATGATTCTACATGAGCGAAAATGAGTAAATCTAGTCCTTAGTAATTCAAGTCATCTAACAGTTATTGAATTCTATACGCCAGGCAGTGTACTAGAAGTTGTTAATACAGCACATTCTCTGTCCCAGAGGAGTTTTATACTTTTAATAGTGAGTCAGACACAATATGTAATTCCAATCTAATGTAAAAAATGCTATGATAGAGGGAATTCTAGGAAGATCAGTGATCAGTAAAGGTGTGGGAGGAGATGACACTTTTTAGCTTTTTGAGGTTATTTTCAAAATAAGCATGCAAAATACTCTTTTAAGAACTAGTAGCCAAAATCACTAGACATTTGAGGAAAGCGAAGCTTGGAGTTCAGACTGGAGGAAGGGGACCAAGGGCTTTGCGAGATCTGTGTCCGTGAAGCTGAACTGAATAGAATACCTGATTGGTTTATTTTTTAAATTGTATTAAGAGAAAACTTATTTGCAGAGTTTAGAGGTGAATTGATGATAGATACATAAAAAACTAAGAAACAAAAAGCAAAACAATTTTTAAATCTAGAGAAAAAAGTGAAGAAATAACAATAATCCCAGTAATTTATATACCTCAGATGTGAATGAGTGGTAATATAGCCATAATAATGTAACCATTACTTTATGATCAGTTTTAATATATTTACCAGTTTTCAAAATAATGAGTTGGTTCACTAGCATTCTTTAATAATGACCAATTAATTTTGTTTTTTGGTATCATTAATTTATGGATTTAAAGGTATTTGATGTGTTTACATTGTTTACAATTCTCTGATGCTCATTTCCAAGCTTTGGCCTATGAGGTCCTCTTCAAGTTGGCTTCTGGAGCCTTTATTTATTTTTTAAAGAGCACTATTGAGGCATAATCTACATATCATGAAATTTGCCCATTCTAAGTGTACAATTTCAATGATTTTTAATAAAATTTGCAGTTGTGCAACCATCCCCATAATCCAAATTTAGAACATTTCATCACCAGAAAAACATCCTTCTGCCTGGTTGTAGTCAATTTCTTTGCTACTTCTATTCCCAAGCAACCACTAATCTACTTATTATCTAAAGATTTGCCTTTCTTGGAAATTTCCTATTAAATAGAACCATACAATATATGGTCTTTTGTATCTGGCTTCTTTTACCAAGCATGATGTTTTTGAGTTTCCTCTATGTTGTAACTTGTGTCCATACTTTGTTTCTTTTCATTGTTGAGTAGTAGTTTGTTGTATGAATATATCACTCTTTATTCACCAGTTGATGGACACTTAGGTTGTTGCCACTATTTGGTGATTATGAATACTCTTCTATGAATTTTTACATACAAATTTTAGTGCAGACTTATGTTTTCATTTCTCTTGGGTAGATACCTAGATATTCCTGGATCATATTGTAAGTTTATGTTTAACTTTTTAAGAAAGTGCCAAACTGTTTTCCAAAGTAATTATACCATGTTACATTCCTACCAACAATGTGCGAGTGTTCCTATTTCTCCACATGCTCACTAGTACTTGTTACTGTCTATTTTTAGTATAGCAATCCAATTGGGTATGAAGTGTCTCACTGTAGGTTTGATTTACATTTCTCTGATGAGTAATGGTGTTAAGCATCTTTTCACAATCAAAAATAATTTAAGAGATTTATTCATATATAACATCCCTTATGTAGATTTTGGAGGTTTATAAGACCAAAAATAATAATGAACAGTTTTACCACAGAATTCTTGATTTGAATTCTAAATTGAGAATGACTTAGTCTAATCTTATCTGTAACCAGTCCAAGTCACTCCCAATTGTTTTGACGCCTCAGTTCCATTAGTTTGTAATGTTAGTATGGTTAGCATTAATCTGATAAACTTGTGTTCTATTAATAGATAGAAGATGTAAACCAAAAATTCAACAATCTGACCAAACATGAGGAATCTGGATGGCAAAACAGTGATAATACAAGCAAAAAGGTCTTTCGGGTAAGTTTGTGGTTTTCTAATATAGACTTGTCTACTTTAATGAATTTTCATTTTTAAGATTTAAAAACATTTAACTTCAGATTTTTCATCATTTTACACAATAAGTTTCATATATTACTTACAATGTCCTGATTGTTTGAAGAAAGAGTAAAGAAATGATCAACAGGAAATTCAGGGTAGATAAATATTTCTGGAGGGAGAAAGGTAGGGCTGTGATTAAATTGGGGCTCCCTACCTGAGAGCTTCTAGGTTGCTAAATAGTGAATATGTGCATATTTGTTTTATTTTTTAAACTATGCTTATATATATTTTTGTACTACTTGTAATAGTAGATAATTTATATATACCTAATATGAACCAAATATTGTTCCAATTACCTTACATGTATTAACTCATTTAATCTCCACAACAATTCTATGAGGTGGGTACTGTTTTGTTTTTTTTTTTCACAGTTGAGGAATCCAAGGCCCAGAAAAATTAAATCACTTGCCCCAGGTAGAGCTGGGTTTTAGGCCACACTTTCTTATTCCAGAATCCATGTTCTTAACCATTAGGCTATGCTGTTTCTGTTTTAGATACTCTTTTGTGTGATAGATTTCAAAATGAAAGAATTTTTTAAGTAGAAAAGAGGAACAGTGGGCTCTTTAGAACCTCTGCTTTCTTCCATATACTTTATCTTGTAAAATTTCCTATTTTTCTCTGTAAAATTGGCTTTGTTAACATGATAGACTCCATTCTTACGTATTCGTAGCAATGTTTTTTCTTTTTTCTTTTTTTAAAGATTTTATTTTTTATTGGGGAACTTTGTTTTTCCAGGACCCATCAGCTCCAAGTCAAGTAGTTGTTTCAATCAAGTTGTGGAGGGCGCATCTCAGTGGCCCATGTGGGGATCAAACCAGCAACCTTGGTGTTATGAGCACTACACCGTAACCAATTGAGCTAACCGGCTGCCCCAGTAGCAATTTTTTTTTCTAGTAATGTTTTAACTCCAAGTTTTTGGTCCCAGTGGATACTTCCTTGGAGCATTGTCAGTTTTTCTTTTATATTTTAGAAAAATGCCTTTATAAAAATTGGGTTTCTAGATTGGTACTTTATTAACTATAGAATCCAAATAAAAACTCTGTTTTGAATTTGTTGAAGATGTTATAGTGTTATTGAAAGAACCTTACTATAAAATTATTTTAGTAATGAAGTCTCATGACAAGGACCCTGAGGATAGTGATGAAATTGATTGAATGAATTTCAAATCTACTAAACAGTAAAGGATGTTTGAACATTTTGAAGCTATTATGGGCATTGCTTATTGAGTACATAGTCCTGGAAACATTAATATCATCAGTGATACAGATAATGGCTGTAACAATATAACATTGTATCAGAACCTTGTACTTCTGTCCCTTATCACCAGGTGTCTCTGTCCTCCTACTTTATTCTATAGGCCACTGTTAAGATTAGCAAACAAAATAAAACTCGTCCTTTACCTGTACTTTGATACCGTTCCCTCTTACCTCTTATTCATTGACTTCTCATCCCATCAATTAGCCTTGTTTTCTCTCTTTCCCTCTTTTTCATCAGTTTTTGGACATGTTTAAGTGTCTTCTCTTTGTTTACATTAAAAAAAAAAAACCAAAAAACTAAACCTGTGATGTCTACACCTTCCTCTAGTTATCTGTACCCCCGTTCCCATTTTTCTTCCCGATCACAGATAAGCTGAAAAAGTTGTGTATAGTCTTTATTTTGATTCCCACTTATCTCTCTAACTCACTGCAATTCAGTTTCACCCCTCTCTATGCCACTAGAACAGTTATCACCACGGTTATTGATCCACTAGTTGGTGAAGTTATTGGACACTGAATTATAAAATAATCCCTCTGAAGTATTAAATACAGTTTATTACTTTCTTAAAATTCTGTTCTGAGTTTCTTCCTACCTCTGCCCAGTCTTCAGTCATGTTTGCAAGTTTCTTTATCCCTTCAATGTTTGTGATATTCAGAATTTCTACCTCAACTCTCTTCTCTCCTTCTATATTGTTCCTGTGCAATTGCCCACCCTGTGATGATTTCAAACCAGACTTACTGCTAAGCTCTTGTTCTGTATATCCTACCTCAGTATACCTTAAAATCAGTGTATCCCGAACTGAAATCATCGCCACACACATGGATGTTTCCCTGTCTCAGAGAATGGTATTAACCATCCAAGATAGAAACCTCGGTATCTTCTTTGGTTCTTTCCCTTCTTTATTTCACAATCTCCACCCCACACACATACATCTAATACGCTAAGTCCTCTTAGTTGTACCTCTTAAATATCTTTTCACTTTTTTGTATTTCTTCTTCAATTTAACTACCATCACCTTTTCCCAGTATCATTGCAGTAGTCTCCTTCCTAATTGGCTTGTAACCCTCCAGTCTATTCTCCAGGCCATAGACAGAGTGACCTTTCTAAAACACATGTCTGATAATGTTAATCTCCTGATTAAAAATCATCAATAATCTCTATTCCTTTGTCCTCTGTATAAATGTGTCTCCTTAAAATGGTAATATGAAAGAGATTTTATAATCTAGCTGTTGCTTATCTCTTGCAACTCCTCTGAGCTTTCTTTCACTTCTGGTTCTGTAAACTTGCTATCCTCTCTACCTAGCCCTTTCTTCACCCCATTTTTTAGCCTGGCTAGCTGTGATTACAGCGTGGTGCTACTTCCTGTAAGCCTTTCTTGATGCCGCTGAAGATTGATTTAGGTGTTACCCTTATGTTTTCCTACAGCCCTCAGAATGCATCTCTATCATGACATTTATCCTTCTCAGTGCTTTTATTTAGCTCCTCTGCTGTGAAGCTGGGAATTCCTTGAGGGCAGAAACTTTGTCCTTAACCTTTTGACCCCAGCATTTTTAGCATATACTAGGAACTTGATAAGTGTATGATGAATACGTGAAATATTTTATGTATGCTTTGTTTTTCTTGTAAGATGGTAATGAGAAGCTTTAATAAATGTCATCTTTCTTTTTGCAGAAAAAAGTTGTCTCTGGTATAGCAAGTAAACCAAAACAGGATGATGGTGGAAGAATTGCAGCTAGAAATCGCCTAGCTGCCATAAAAAATGCAATGAGAGAGAGAATTAAGCAGGGAGAACATGCTGAGGCAGCAGCCTCTGTAATGCCAAAGGAAGTGGATAAAATTGTTTTTGATGCTGGATTTTTCAGGGTTGAAAGTCCCGTTAAATCATTCTCAGGTTAGTTTTTCTGCTGAGACTACTTAAGAGAAATATTTGGTTGGATGGGAGGTTGTATAGGAAGTGAAAAATAGTTTTCACATGAAGGGATACAAACTCTCTGATTTCTGGAAAATAGACTATATGCTCAAACACATGCAAATCACACTTTGATGGGGATGATTAGATTAAAGTGTGACAGATCTTCTAAACAGCTTTTACATTTTCAAAGTGATTTCACATCTGTTATTACCACTTAACCTCAACATCCTGTGAGGATGTTGCTTCACTGGCCCATGTTGGTATTGTGATCATTGCGTTCAAGGGACGTGATGGGAGCACGAGAAGTTAGGTGATTTTCTCAAGTTGGATTAGAATTTAAGATGCGAAACTTAGTCATCAAACTATCAAACCTCTTTAGATGTGTTTTAAAATGAAATTTGTGGAAGATGGGTTTGGTTTAATTTTCATTTGTATTAAAACTTTTGCTCAGATCTTTTTGAAACACAGTAAAATGTACTAGTAATTTCCTAACTTCAAAATATTTCAGTGAAACCAGTTTTTAATATTTCAGGAAACCGTTCTTATAATTTTCCAACTCCAGCTATGTTGTTCAATAGTGATTTTTCATAGACTACTAGATTGAATTTATTGATTTTGACTGAACTTATTTATTTATAAGCCACAGAACATGAGGCCATAGTGGAAGTAATTTGTTCCTTATATCTTGGTAGGCACTTCTGTCAGTGCTTTAAGTGCTAGATATTTATCTCAAGGAGAAAGGAGCCAAAGCCTCTTCAAGTACTAATCAGCTCAAGGGCTCCCCATTATTTTGCTAGGAAATTTTCTGAAAATAAACCTGAGCTGCTATCTAATACTTACATTAAAATGTAAATGTATCACCTCAGGTATAGTTTAGATGTCAACAGCTGGTGCAGTTTGGGTTTTGCTTCCTCTACTCAAAGCCACTGCACTCCCTGGATACCTAGGAACTGCCTCCTAAGTGATAACATGATGATAACATGGCCCCTTGCTACTTACCTCCCAAGGATCCTAGTGGTTTCCACAGCTATGAACTAACTATTCTTTCATGTACCCAGCTCTGCACTTATGACTCGGGAGATTAAGGCTTATGGCAAAAATTCATCTTTTTAAACTTGGATTTTAGTTATGGAGCACATAGTTTACATGAGGCTTGTTACGAAGCAGAAGTCCCCCCCCCCACCCATGAAACCCCTTTCATCCTGTTTGTCACTATCTAGAGGCAACTACTTTTAATTCTTTAAAAAATTTTTTTATTTTTCAATTACAGTTGACATACAATATTATATTAGTTTTAGGTGTACAACACAGTGATTAGTAATTTTTCTTGGGATCTTAAGTTGTTTACAGCCCTCTCTATATAAAGTGTAGGGGTTTTTTTCTTGAGTTGTTCCTTTAATTTACTCCCCCTAGTTCTCTCTGATCTTTCTTTCAGAAACACATATTTTTCTCTTGGTAAATAGACTGTTTTTATCATTCTTTCTTGTTTTCTTCTGCTTTCTGGGTTTCCTCAACTTCATGTTGGCTATCATATTTTTAATTCCTAAGAGTTCTTTCTCATTCTCTGAATATTTCAGTTTTTTCCTGTCTGTACTTGTTTCATAACTGCACAGTCTTGTCTTTCTGAGGACATTAATGCTAACATATGTTTCCTTCCCCCTGTATAGTCAGTATTTGTTCTAAGATACTTTCATCTGTTTGGTTTTGGTTTCTATCTCTTGCAGTAGAGGCTTTCCTCAGGAGGGCTCACTGCCAGCTCACGGGTACAAGCAGGGCTCTGCATGGCAGCATGTGGGTAGGGTCTTTACTGGGAGGTGGTTTACTGCGCCATGTTCTGGGAACTGCATATCGCTGTACTTATCTTTTCTCATGGGCTAGATTCCTCAGAGAACATTCTTTCATTCTGTTGCCTGGAGCATATAATCCTGGCTGTTAGTCTTTCAGGAGCCGTGTGTGTGTGTGTGTGTGTGTGTGTGTGTGTGTGTGTGTGTGTGTGTGTGTGTGTGTGTGGGGGGGGGGGAGACGACAACGGAATCTGATGAATCTGAGTGTCGCAACAGTTTATTTGTAAATAGTCACTTAATCCCTTTGTTTTCCGTATAGTACTGATCTGTCAGTCTTACCTGGTATCACCTAAACCAGATACCCTCTGTTTCACCTTTTTTGGGAAATAATCCTCTAGTTTTCTGATTTGGTGGGGGCGTTGGGGGAGGGGGTGATGGTGACAGTTGCCAGCTGTGCAGAATGAGCAAAGAAACCTGGGCTCTAATTGTTCTTTCAAGTGACTTAGAACTAATCTTCTTGTTTTTAGCTCTGTTTTCATCTCTGCTTCCAGAAATAGTTGAGGCCACCAATTCTTTTGAGGGGTGCTGTGGTATAAATTGGGTTGATTGTCATCTTTCCTGACTGTTGCTTAGGATTTATTTTCTTTAGCCTACTAAGTAAGATTCCACTCATCCATCTACATTGCAGCTTCAAAATTGTCTGGTTATTGTTTCTTTTTTAGTTTCCTTTGGCCTTGTAGCATTCTGCCTTTTTTATTTATTTTATTTTATTTTATTTTATTGGGGGATTGTGGGAGGGAAACAGACAAGTTGCTGTCCATCAGTCTAGTTGTGGAGGATGTTGCTTCACTGGCCAATGTTGGTATTGTGATCATTGCGCTCTTCCTGGCTGAGGCAGATCAGTCGCCTGCCATTGGATTGCCGCTCACGGCGGCTCTTGGCAGCTCATGCCGGCTGCCAGCCATTCATGGTAGCTCATGGTAGGGTCCCCCCCATCCCCTCCCACTGTAGCCTACGCCGTCGCTGGCGACTCACGGAAGCCCAGCTCCAGGTTGAGCTGTTGTTCAGCATCTTAGCTGTAGAGGGAAGTGTCACTGGCCCTCATGTAAGATCCGAACTGGGGCCCTGCTGCTCAAAGCTGGCACCCCAAGACAACTCTTAACCAATGTACCACAGGGCCGGCCAGTAGCATTCTGCCTTTAAAATTATCTCTTACTGCTTATAGTAGTGGGATGTCAAGAAAGGAGAGTCTAATGTGTGTATTCAATACTATCTTTAACTGTAAGTACTGGGCATTTGACTTAGTAGAAACAAGGTAGTTTGTAGGGGAATTGGAAGAATTTGCACTGTCTTTCTAGTTACAATGAAAAGTGAACGAAAAAACTTTTTGATATTGAGGTGATTTCTCTCATCTTCTAGGACTTTCTATCTCTTCTGAACGTCTTTCCCAAAAATTTAAAACACCTAAGTCTGTCAGCAAAGCTGTGTCTGAGAACAGGGCTGAGATGGGCCTTGTAAAACAAACTACGTCACCAGAGAATCCTGATCCTCAGAGTACCAGAAATGAACACGCTGAGAAGACTTTGCTTTCAGATATTCCTGAAAACAGGTATTTCATTAATGTGTTATTAAACATTTAGTACATGCTGATTATTAACCTGCATAATATGGTAAAATATGCAAGACATATTTTTAATTTAATTTCACAATGACCCTGTAACATATAGGCAATACTTCTATTTCATTTATTTATTTAAAAATTTTATTGGGGAATTAGGGAAGGGGAACAGCCAAGTTGTTGTCCTTTAATCTTAGTTGTGGAGGGCGCAGCTAGCTCAGCTCCAAGTACAGTTGCCAGCCGGCTGCCCATCGGCAGCTCGCGATTGCTCAGCTCAAGGTGCCATGTTCAATCTTAGTTGCAGATGGGCGTGGCCCACCATCCCATTCGGGAGTCGAACCGGGCAACCTTGTTGATAGGAGCACGTGCTCTCACCAGCTGAGCCATCCTGCCACCTGTTGGCAGCTCAGTGGCAGCTCAGCTCGGGCACAGCTCACTGGCCCATGTGGGAATCGAACCAGGGACCCTGTTGCTCAGAGCTCGCGTTCTTAACCAACTGAGTCACTCGGCTGGCCCAATACTTATATTTTATTAAAGAGCTAACTGAAGCTTAAGATTTCAGATTGGTGAATGGTTGTGTTTAGATGGGCAAAGTTAATTCTACACAACTAAGAAGAAAAGAAATAGTGTAGTGTCCTTTGGTGCTAAACAGACTGCAACTTTGGTGCCTGACAGATTTGAGCTCAAAACCAGCTGTATGACACACTAGATATGAAACTTTGGAACAAGTTAATTAACTTCCTTAGCTTTAGTTTCATCATCTGCAGACAGCAGTGTTGCCTTCCTACAGGGTCATTGAGAGTTGGGCACTTTGTACCAGCCTTTATTGAAAGTATCTTGAGACTGCTGTCTTCACAGATAAGCAGAGCATCAGGAAGGGGAGCCACTGTGTACTGAACGATTATTATGGGCTCGCCATGGTTCTAGGCTCTTAGCATGCGTCCTCTCGTTTAATCCCCACAACACTCCTGGGAGCTACTAGATCCCCATTTTTCAAGTGAGAAGACTGGAAACGTTAGTCATTTACCCAGATTCAGATTAGAATCAGTGAACCTGGATGCTGCTTAGTCTTTGTACCACATAGTACTGCCTCTGCACAGATGCATCAAAATTACCTGTATAGTCCTTGTTCGTGGGACATACATGTACCAGGAATCTCATAGGAAAAAGATACTTTAAAATAAATAGGAAGTAAAGTTATAATCTGGAGTCAAGCAAGGACTATTGGGGTTTTTAATCTGGTTATGGGACAATTCAGTCATTGCAGCACATAAGGCTGTCAAACATATGAAGAACACCTTAGGAACTGGAAGAGGGGAAACAAATGAAAGTTATTCTTAAATATTTCATGGAACAAGTTTTAGCATTTTTAATTTTTGGTATAAACCAAAGTATATTTAGCCATTGTGAGGACTAAGATATTTTAGATGTTCTAGAAACCTGTGGATTATAAAATCCCAATTTATTGTCATTTCTTAAGTGCAAGTTATTTTACTTAAGTCCCAAAAATAGTCCCAAAAGAGTACATCTTACACATAAACAGCTTTGTATGGTGAAGGCAGAGTGGAGCTGAAAACTAGAAAAATTTAGTGTATTTAAAAAAAAAAAATGACTTGCAAGAAGTTGAGACAGGTATTTTTAATAAAATACAAATTAGGATTAGAGTTTAAAACTAACAAGTAAATGTAGCCGACTCCAGATATACAATAATTGAGTTGTCACCTCAAACCACCCCCCCTTTCATTTGCCCCCAGAAGTTACCTTTCTCCTAACCTTTCTCTGGTATGTAGCTCTGGATTTGGCTGAGGTTCACAGGATTGCTGGCGAACTGACCAGAATGGAAACGGGCTTGTGAGCTTTCTGGGAAAAGATGCATTTGTTTTGTCAGGCCATCCTATAGTAGTTCTATAGTCCCAAACTAATCTATTTGGATCAGGCCTGATCTTGGACCAGGCTCCATCTTTGATCCATAAAGGATAGTCTCAAAACACAAGTCAAAAGAGAGCAATATGTTTGATTATCTGAGTACAATGCTGTTTTTATTCTTTTTTTCAGGAACAGCATAGAAGATGCTCAGTGTCCTGGATTACAAGGTTTAATTGAAGTAAACCATGTAAGTCGTATTCTAGTATACTAGATAGCCCAGTATGTTATCTATTTATGTCATTATCTTATATACTAACTCCATAAACAACCCCCAGAATATCCATTGGGAATCAAAATCAGTCTTATAAAATGATAGTTCTTGTTTCAAAGGCCTTTAGCTTATTTGAGACCATAGTGTCATTTTGTATTCTTCAACTCACATCAAGATTATTTTTGTAAATTGTTTTATTATAACACAGTCACATTCATTCATTTGTATGTTATATCTGGTTGCTTTTGCAATGCAATAGAATTGAGTAATTGTGGCAGAGACTCTAGGGCTCAAAAAGCCTGAAATATATATTATCTGGCCCTTCACAGAAAATGGTTGCCCGTCTCTGAAGTGGAGTACAGGTACTTGCTGAGAAACTTTCCTTTGATCATGCTCTTGCTACAATATTATCTGAGCTGTTTGTTTTAGAAGTGAGATAGTAGGATTTACAATGTTCTTTAGCCTTTGTTCAGAATATCATCCTTCTGTTTTTATTATTTTGAATAGCAACAAGACCGTTTCTGTTTGTTCTAATGTCTGGTAGTTAAATATAAAAACCATTTTTGTTTCCAGGATGAAAATAAAATAAACTTTGAGATGTATTGTTTACCCAGTGAAAGAATGAGTTTGCCTCTACTTGCTGGTGAAGTGGCATATGATATTAATATCAACAAAAAGGAAGAAATTTCAGATGTTGTGGAAGGAATGGAATTAAATTCTTCGATTACAGCACAGGATATTTTGATGAGTAGTCCTGAAAAATATATACCATCACAAAATAACATCTCACAGGAAGAAGAAACTAAAACTTGTCAGTCAGGTGAGGTCTTTTTAATATATTTAAATTAGGCTTTGTTAAATAAATGAACTTGGACTAATGTCTAGATTATCTTAAATACTTCTGGGTACCAGTTTCTAAGAATGAAGGTTGAAAAATTGGGCACAGTAAATATTTTATGAGAATTAGTTTGTGCAGTAGTACCTTATTCTCCACCCTAAACCTTTTGAGGTAGACCTATTAAAAATTAACAAACAGATACTAATCCATGTGGGATATAAGTAACATTTTACATAAGACTCAACTACTTGGGATCCTTTATTGTTTGTGAAAACTCAGAATTAGAAAAATTCCCTGAAGTTTTTTTAGTTATCCTCCTTTCAACACACATCATCAGACTTTTCTTCAAAATGTCCTATTTTTCATCCCTAATGCTTTTTCTTACCTGCTTTGCTGTGATTGTTGTGCAGTAGGAAATGGCTGTTGCATTTCTGTTAAAATATAATGTCTGATACTCTCACCTGCTATTTTCGCCTGTTCTCTGTTGTGCTGTTCTGACTAGGACCTAAGGCAAAATAAACATTACCTTTGCCAGATATTGAATGTACTCCAGCTGTGTTCTTTTGACCTTTGGGGTACCTTTAATATTACAAACATGAGACTTGTTTATAGAAGACTCTCTTTATACTGAAATTAAATACGAGAATTTTATTAAGAAACTCAACAACATTTTAAAGAAACATTACAGCATAAGATGACCTGTATTTTTGTCTTCAGTATTTGATAATATGGAACTTTTCATATTTTTTCAGGGTTTTATCCATTTTCTAACAACCCTTGACTATGAGAATATTCTTTAAAAAGTTAAAAATAATTCTTTTTTGTTTTTCAGTATTATGTGATAATAAAAGTCTCACTACTGAATGCCATCTTCTTGATTCAGTAAGTTTTCCAACTTAATTTGAAAAGTATCTTTACAGTCTAGATTTGTTTTATAAAATGAATATTACTCACTTTTTAATTTGTGTGTAAAATTTAAAATTTACATCTTATCATTCTTTCATTTACTCCAAAATTCATTCGTTACTCATGTTTATCAAAATGGGAACAAAATTTCATGTTTACTTTAAAATATAGTATGTTTTAGTATTAAACTCTGAAGATTTATTTCCCTCCATGATTTATTTATTAAATTTGTTATGACAAAGTGAATACTGAATATCTAATATATGGCTTGGATTATGCTAGGTATTTCTAAGTGATGCAAAAAAAATATAATGCAAGGTTTCTGCCCATCTGAAAAGCATACAGTTGGAAAGATAATGTCCATGCTACCTTCAGTCATCATTGGCTATTTTTGTTCTGTTCCTTTCAGTTTACTATATTTATTTGGAAGCTCCCAACCTTTACTTTTGGTGACCTCTTGCCTCTAAGTCTAGCTCAAATATTAGCCTTTCTGTGACACCTTCCTATAAAAGCTCTCATCTCTCCCATGTTAATTTATATATAGCCACAGGTGAACATGGGCACACAATACACACAATGCATACATTTAATCTCTAAGAAAACAATGTGAATATATTATGTTCCTAAAACATATTACAATTTCAGGAGTATATTTCCCTTATTAACTGTAAATTTCTCTGTAGACAGAGCTGTCTGATTCATATTCATGAATTCTGGCACTGTGGCATGAATGAAAAAGTGCTCTGTTTACTACTAAGTGTTTACAGCAAATAGTTTTCAGCCCTACCCCCAGATATTTTTATTTCAATGATCTGGAGTAGGGCCTTCAGGTGATCTTAATGTGTAGCCAGGGTTGAAACTCTAGTTTACAGCTTTACCTTGAGATTTTCCAGTGACACTGCCAAAATGGGTCAGAGATCTTAATGAAGTAGAGCTAAGCAACCTACTTGATAAAGAGTTCAAAGTAATTGTCATAAAGATGCTCACCAAACTTGGGAGAAGAATTGATGAATTCAGCAAGAACTTCAACAAGGAGATAGAAAATATTTAAAAACTGCCAAACAGAAGTTACAACTAAAATGAAAAATTACTAGAAGGGGTTCAACGGCAGACTGGATAAAGGTGAAGCACAAATCAGTGAGCTGGAAGATAAACAATGGAACACACAGAGACAGAGCAACAAAATGAAAAAAGAATTTTGAAAACTGAAGATACCTTAAGGAACCTCTAGGACAACATCAAGCAGAATGTCATTCACATTATAGGGGTCCCAAAAGGAGAAGAAAGAGAGAAAGGACCAGAAAAATTGAAGAAATAATGGCTGAAAACTTCCCTAATCTGGGAAAGGAAACAGACATCCATGTCCAAAAAGTCCAGAGCGTTCCAAATAAGATGAACTCAAAGAGAACCACACCAAGACACCTTATAATTAAAAAGATAAAAGTTAACAATAAAGAGAGAATCTTAAAAGCAGCAAGAGAAAAACAACTTATTACATACAAGGGGAACCCATATGGCTGTCAGATTTTTCAGCAGAAACCTCACAAGCCAGAAGGGAGTGGCATGGCATATTTAAAGTGCTGAAAGGAAAAAAATTCCAATCAAGAATTCTCTACCCAGCAGGGTTATCATTTAGAATTAGAGGAGAGATTAAGAGTTTTCCAGATAAGCAAAAGCTAAAGGAGTTCATCACCACTAAACTGGCCTTCAATAAATGTTAAAGGGATTTCTCTAAGCTGAAAAGAAAAGGCACTAATTAATAATAAAACACATGAAAGTAAAAATCTGACTGGAAAAACACAATATAAAGGTAGTGGATCAATCATTTATAAACCAAGTATGAAGGTTAAAAGACAAAAATGTAAAGCTTTAGATTGTGTTCAAATTTAAGCTGCTGTCAACTTAAAGAGACTTTTATATACATAGGATGTTATATGTGAACCTCTTGGTAACCACAAAGAAGAAACTTATAGTAAACAATGAGGAAGAAATCTAAACACAACACTAAAGAAAGGCATCAAACCACATGGGGAGAGAGAAAGAGATGAAAAGAACAGAGAACTACAAAACCAGCCAGAAAACAATTAACTAAATGGCAATAAGTACATACTTATCAATAATTACTTTAAATGTAAACAGACTAAATTTGCCAATCAAAAGATAATGTGTCTGAATGGATAAAAAGACAAGTTCCATCTATATGCTACCTACAAGAGACCTCAGAAGTAAGGACACAGAAACTAAATGTGAAGGGATGGAAAAGATATTCCATGCAAATGAAAACAAGAAGAAAGCTGGTATAGCTATACTCATGTCAGAAAAAAATAGACTTTAACATAAAGACTGTAGTAAAGGACAAAGAAGGGCACTGCATAATAATAAGGGGTCAATCCATAAGGAAGACACAACATTTATAAATATGAGTATACAGAATATTTTATCCCAAAATGGCAGAATACACATTCTTCTCAAGTTCACACGGACCATTCTCCAGGGTTGACCCCATATTAGTCCACAAATGTCAGTAAATTCAAGATTGAAATCATATCAAGCATCTTTTCCAACTACAATGGTATGAAAATAGAAACCAATTACAGGAACACAACTGGAGGGCCAGCCGAGTGGCTCAGTTGTTTAAGAGCTTGCCCAAGAGTGCAAGCTCTGAGCAACAGGTCGCTGGTTCAATTACCACATGGGCCAGTGACGCTGTGCCCCGAGCTGAGCTGTTGCTGAGCTGCCAACAGGTGGCAGGATGGCTCAGCTTGTGAGAGCACATGCTCCTAACAACAAGGCTGCTGGTTTGAATGGTGGGCTATGCCCACCCGCAACTGAAGACTGAACTTGGCACCTTGAGCTGAGCTGCTGCCCGGATGGCTCAGTGGATAGAATATGTCCTCTTAACAACAAGGCTGCTGGTTCGACTCCCACATGGGATGGTGGCTTTGCCCACCCGCAACTAATTGAACACAGCACCTTGAGCTGAGCAGCGTGACTGGACTTGGAGCTGAGCTTGCTGCGCCCTCCACAACTAAGATTGAAGGGCAACAACGTGGCTGTTCCTCTTCCCCAATTCCCCAACACTGTTCTCCTCCCCAGTTCCTTAACACTGTTCCCCACCCCCAATTCCCCAATAAAATCTTTAAGAAAAAAACCATAAAACAATTCTGTGGAAAAACCACAAAACTGTGAAGATTAAACAACATGTTACTGAACAACCAATGGATCGTTGAAAAAATCAAAGTAGAAATAAAAAATACCTAGAGATAAATGAAAACAGAAATATGACATACTAAAGTATGTGGAATGCAGCAAAAGTGGTTCTAGGAGGGATATTCATAACAACATAGGACTAACTCAAGAAATAAGAAAAATTTCAAAATGCATCAAGGAATGGCCTTGGTTTGCTAATCTTTGATCTCAGAGTATAAAATATGCATTATGGCAATTGTAAGATCAAGCAACTGTTATTTAAACTCATGAAGACTGGTAAATGCTTGGCTTCCTCAAGCCAGTAATTCCTTAAGGACTTCTGTATATCTCATTTTCATTATCTTTCAAAGACCTTTCTTTGCAGTCAGGTTTCTGGGCTGCCCTGTATCTCCAGAGCAGAATGGGATGTGTTACACTCTGTTCTTTCTTGGTCTTAGCTTTCTTTAATCACAGACTGAGACCTAGAGGGTCAGGGACTTTAGCCTAAGGCCAATTTAAATACACCTGATTTAATCCTGTTCCCAGATCTGAATGCTGAATGATTGGTTCTGATAATATATGATACCTAGAACTGAATCCGGAAATTAATGAACCTTAATATTCTGTTTTTAAAATATTAGTAATATGATTAAAAATGCTTCACAATTAGACAGTATCTTGTTGATAAATCTTAGTACCTTATAATTTAGTCTCTGAATTCTTGTCTACTTCCATAAATTTAAATATATATTTAAAAACATTTTTAATACATTCACCTGTCTATTTTAGGCCAAAATATTACTTACTCTGTAGCATCATTTGAACCTGAAGTAGAGTTTGAGTGGGGAACAAAGAAAAGGATCCCAGCAGGATCACATTCTAGTAAAAGGCCTTTTAAGTCTGTTATATGGTATGGCTTAGGGTTGGTTTGTGAAATCTGCGCATGTGTCTTAAGATATGTCCTCAATTTCATTCATCCTGTATATATGTTGCTGAAGTCTATTTACATATTAGTAATCACCTTTTTAGGCATATATTCCTAATATATCTTCTCAATTTAGAAACATATGCTTGAAGTTAGATCTGCTGGAAAGTGGCACAGTCTTTATGTTATTAATCATTTTATTATTATGTAGAAAAATTATTCATTTTATTAGTTTACTATAACTTGCAATGTTGAAGACTTAATTGGTGAAACTCTTGGTAGTTCCTTAAGTGACTACCCTGAAACTATTCTCCAGCCAGGTCTGAACTGCAGTAATCCATTCACTCACATGGAGAGGAGACACGGAGAGCTTGCCAGACACATTTCCTTTGGTGGTAACCTGATTGTCTTTTCACCTCTACGGCCCCTCAGTGGAGAACAGCCAAAAGAAGTTTGAATTTTAAAATCATTCCAAACATTTTTCTTCATATTGTCAATGCTGTGGTATGTTCTTAGATTATCAAAAGGCTCAAGACTACTTTTGTTCGCTTCTATTCAACCCATCTATGTAATGTCGTACAGTGTTTTAATATTCAATGTTCATTAAAGTGTGTTTTAGAGACGATACTGTTTCTCGAGGGAAATGGGGATATTTTGTACATTGACCATGCAGAATAAAAAATGTACTGCACCTTGCCTCTCTTCTTTAAAATGTATAAGCTTAAAGCTAAGAATACTTCCTCAGAGCTTATAAACGCTCTTCATCTTAATCAAAATGTAATACTTATCTTTGACAGAAATATCTGTATCCTTGTGTACTTTATTTTTAGTTTGAATTTTTAAATTTGTTGATGTCAAACAGCGTTGCATATTGCACTTTCCAGGGGATACTGAGTTTCCTTAGATGAACTTTCTGGATTCTGATGTCAGTTTACGTGCTGCAGTTTCAAATGGTTAAATTATTATAGGTGCCCATTAAATTCTTGCCTTTTTCATTTTCCCCTTGACATGACTGACAGCCTTTGAAAGAAATGCCTTCTTCCTTTGAAGAGAATTGTGTCAATCATTTAATGTGTTTGAAGTATTTTCTCTTTTATACAACTCTTACCTATAGGTTTGTAGAAGACAGGGCTGTCAAAATAACAGAGTACCAACAAGACTCAGAGTAGCTAACGCTTTTAACCAGACCCAGGTCCAATTATTTCTGTCTGCAAACGAGCTGACCAATAAGCAGGAACTTTATGGATAATGCCCCCTAAGATTAGAGGTTTTCAAACAAGAAAAGGAACACACATGTACTTTTGTTGTCAGAGGAAGGCTTGTGGGGAAGACAATATTAACAAGTCCCTGTGAGCAGTTGGGAGGTGATGTGAGGTGGTGACTTAGAATAATGTTCTGAGAATGCCTACAGTCTTATCGAAAAATAAAAATAGCTTTTATTCATTAACAGCCTGATAATGAACAATTCAAGCAAGACATGCAGAATAAAAAAGTATATATAAAAGTTAGGGCTTTCTAAGGGGGCAGGGCTATGAATATGTAAAAGAGGTTGATAAAAAGTAACCCGAGATTTAGAATCTACGTAAAGTGACATGTGACATAACAATAAAGTAATATTTATCCTCAAGGATAAAGTAGCTAAGAATGAGACAATGTTAGTAAACATGATTTGGTGGGGTAGGTTTCATAAGGTGTGCTATTGAATCATTTAGAAAGATTTTGGCTGTTATGTAATAGTAAAATGAACTCAAACTGGCTTAGCAATAAGGACTTATTTCGCGTGTTGGCAGGGTGATTCCAGGCACTTTACAATCAACAGCTCAATGATGGCATCAAGGTCCAACATTCTGCTTATAGTTTATCCTGTCATCCTTGATGTTGGCACTCCTCTAAGGCTGGGTCCTTTTGGGGTCATAAGGTGGCAGCTAGTGGTAATCAGAACTGTGTCCTTCCCTGTGGTCTGGTTAGGCCAAGTAATGCAACCTCTCCATCTGCAGATCAGTAAAAGTCAGCAGGGGATTGGGTTAAACTAATGAGTTCCTACTGCATCTGGGATCATACCTGAATAAAACCAGTTATTAGGACAGAGAATGGATTTTGGGTCGGCAGCCATCAATGTCCCCTGCAACTAGATAGTGTTCTTGGGCTATTGGACTCCAGAATTATGAGGTATCAGGAAAATCTTCAAAGACAAATGAAAGAAAACTGCTTGGGTAGAACAAGAGCCTTTCGAAAATCTAAAGGGAGGGCCGGCCGAGTGACTCAGTTGGTTAAGAGCTCGCTCAAGAGTTTGAGCTCTGAGCAACAGCAGTTTGAGTCCCAGCCCGAGCTAAGCAGCCGCTGAGCTACCAACAGGTGGCAGGATGGCTCAGCTTAAAAAAAATCTAAAGGGAATTTCCCTTTATTGAGGACCTACTATATGACAGCCCCCTTATTTTTCTATTTTTAATATTTTCTTTTTTTTTAATTTTATTTTATTGGGGAACAGGGTTTTTCCAGGACCCATCAGCTCCAAGTCAAGTAGTTGTTTCAATCTAGTTGTGGAGGGTGCTGCTCAGTGGCCCATGTGGGGATCGAACCAGCAACCTTGATGTTATGAGCACCACGCTCTAACCAACTGAGCTTACTGGCGGCCTCTAGGATATCCCCTTTGCAAACAATGTTTATTCAATGATCACAGTAACCCTACAAAAGATGTATCATACCGCCCATTTTATAGACAAAGGAACCAAGTCTCAGAGGGTTTACGTAATGTTGTATAAACTAAGTCCCCTCTTTTTTCCAAAGCTTCAATTCTTCCATTTAATCGTAGGAGTAGAACAATCAAGACCAGAATGTTAGGGTAAGGGATATGCTGTGACTTGCTCAAATCCCTCTCAAGGACTGAAGGATTTATTCCACCAGTTGCTGGAAGTGCAGAAAGCTCTCAGGTATCATCCCGTGAGTACTGCCTCACGTGAGGAGAGCCACTTCCAAATTCATGCCGTTTCCCAGGTGGCCTGTATTCATTGACTGAAGTGAGTGAGGCTATATAAGGACTCATCCCCCTTTTGACTATAGGATCACCCCAGCCTCAGAACCCCTGTAGGGTGAACTGAGGCATCAGTGCTCAACTTCTCCTTCTGCCCAGTAGTGTCCCTTCTCATCCCTACAGCTGTTGATTGCAAGAGCATTCCCTCACGCTTCTTGTATTCAAATTTCTTTGCTTCCTGGGGAATCCAACCTGTGACAATGACCAATTTAAAGTATTTGAGAAGATAGTACTCTAGAAACAAAATATTTTGGTCTTCTATAAAGTTAAGTGTGACTACATCCTAGTTTTGAAATTTTATTCCTTGGTTTTGCTGATATAGGAAGGGCAGAAAGGCATGGTTACAAATGTTGATGATGGGAACTATTAAATTTTTGAAGCTGAATTATACACCTAATAAATGACACCCCGCCTTCCCACCCCTCTACAAATCTGGAAAACCAGATAGTCTCATGTTGGTTTCCAAAACTGATATGAAAGCAGTGAAGTATAGTTTAGAGAGAGAAAATAAGACGTACAAGGAGTTCAAAAAAATACACCAGAATGCTAACAGTAATTGCCTATAGGTCATATGTTGTCTATATGTAAGTTCTTTCTGCTTTTATTTCCTGAATATATTTTATTTCCTTAAGTAAGAAAACAGGAGAATGATTTCCTTGTAGCATCTCCTGGTTTTGTGAAACTCAGGAAAAGAAGTTAGTTTGGGGGTGGTATTTACTCCTATTTCCTTTCTTAAAAAATATTTAAGTATAGAAAAATTTGGGAGACTCTAGTCCAGTATTAATATTGCTGCATATTTCTTTTTCCATTGAGTCCATTGTGCATTACCAAGAATAAACTGCCTCAGTTAGATGACATGTAAGCAGGTAACTCTTAGAATATTTATTAAATGGAATTGGTTTACAAGAAGGATTTTGATGAACAAAGGCAAAATTTTTCACTCATGGTGAGCATGAAACTTATGTGTACAGCTTACATTCAATTTCATTTTTTTAAAAAGCATCTGCCCCTTTAAGATTATATCATAGTATGCGAAGCACTGGTAAGACTGATGTCACCAGAAATGGCCATCGCGTTGATTTCCTTGAGATTTTTCATCCGATGATTGTACTGCAACAAGTGGGCATCGTTGACCGCAACTTTGAAGTGGTCAGATTCAGCCAGTACTTGTATCTGAAATGGCAAATATACAAAACTATTAGACATGCCCATGGATTTCAAAACCAGTTTGGCCTGATCTCAGGATGTCCAACATTTCATCTTTATGATCATTTGTGGAACTGATTAAAGTTCAGAATAAGTAACTATATAGCAAAAACAAACTCCAGATGATTCAAAGATTTAAACAAACACAAAATGATAAAATTGTTAGAAGGATACATAGTTGAAGCCATAAGGGGAAAGATTAATAATGTGTCTACAGAAAAACTTAAAGTTTTTGTATGGCCTAAAGCCCCTAAAAGTAAAAATAAAACACAAAAGTAGGAATCTCCTAATGGAGTGGCACATTTTAAGAAGATAGATAACCATTTTTGGCAAGAGCAGGGGAAACATACTCTTCCAAAAGTTAGCAGATGTGTTAAATCCTTCCATCCTTTTGGGAGCAGCACTTTGATGATATCTAAATTTTAAACATGCATATTCTTTAAATAAAATTCTAGGAAGCAAAGATTTATATGGATAGTTATTAAAGTATTTTAGATAAATAAACCTTTCCAGGTTGTATTTGTTTGAAATATTTCCATACTCCAAATTTTCATCAATAGGGTACTGGTTGAATGATCACATATCTAAACAATGAAATATTTTCAGGTAACTGTTCTGATACTGAAAGACATCCACCCAATGTAGAATATAGTCCCTGTTAGTCTCTGCCCTTGAGGAACTTAGATTTATTGCCTGCTCTACATTCAATCCTAACCCAATGCTGTGAACCTAATATTTGTTGAAGCAGTGCTTAAAAATAAAACATGGGCGGGCCGAGTGGCTCAGTTGGTTAAGAGCTCGCTCAAGAGTTTGAGCTCTGAGCAACAGCGGTTCGATTCCCGGCCCAAGCTGAGCAGCCACTGAGCTGCCAACCGGTGGCAGGATGGCTCAGCTTAAAAAAAAAAAAACAGTAAAAAATAAAACGTGTGGGGCCAGCCGAGTGGCGCATTGGTTAGGAGTTGGCTTGGGATGCCTGCTCTGAGCAACAGGGCCCTGGTTTGGATCCCACATGAGGGCAAGTGACACGGTACCCTCTACAGCTAAGATGGTGAACAACAGCTCCACCTGGAGCTGGGCTGCGATGAGTTGCCTGCTGGCCAGCAGCGGGCATGAGCTTTCGTGAGCTGCTGTAAGTGGCCGTGCAATGGCCAGCAAGCGACTGCCTCACCTGGGAAAAGCACAATGATAATACCAACATGGGCCAGTGAAGCGACGTCCTCCACAACTAAACTGAAGAACAAAAGGACAGCAACTTGTCTGTTCCCCTTCCCCGATTCCCCAACACTGTTCCCCTCCCTCAATTCCCCAATAAAATCTTTAAAAATAAATAAATAAAACTTGTGCTGTATGTCACAGAATATACTGGAAAGATATTCCCCAAATTGCAACCTTGGTGAGGATGGAGGACTTTTCAGTTACTTTAAAAATTGATACTTTTTTTTTTCATAAAGCAAGCATGTATTAATTTTAGAATTAAATTTTTTTTTTTTAGCTGAGCCATCCTGCCACCTGTTGGCAGCTCATTGGCTGCTCAGCTCAGGTCGGACTCGAACTGCTGTTGCTCAGAGCTCAAACTCTTGAGTGAGGTCTTAACCATCTGAGCCACTCAGCCGGCCCAAAATTTTTTTTAGTTTTGATTGCCATGCCACCTATGTTGTTTGAAGGAATTAAGTCTCAGTCCATCTGTATTATAGACTTTCTTATTAAAGGTGCTATTTTTCTCATTTCCAGAAAAACTTCAACTCAAACAGGTGGTGACAGGAACCATGGTGAGGTGCTTGAATGGAGTTAGGGAGTGTGCCACTCCTGGCCATGTTCTAGCCTGCTGAACCTGGTGCCCTAGGAAGAGGAGATGTACTGGTTAGGTGTCCCAGCACAGCCGATGGCAGTTCAAGTGCAATGTGGCATTACAGTGATTCCCCATGAGCAATATGCATTATTATAATAACAGCAATAACTTACCTTGAATGGTTTACCACTTTCAAATGGGAATGCCATCTGTCTTTCTTCCCGTCCCCAGCTATTATTCAGCTTTGAATTGCAAACAATGACTCTCTTGTTGGCCTCATTGAAGCGTGGGTTAAAGTGGAAAGCAATATCATCCCCTGTTTTGAAGTCTAAAACAAGTCTGTTTAAACCAAAGACAAGAGTTAGTAAAATGATTCAAGTTGTGTGTATCAAGTGAAGAACATATAATTTTCTAAAATGCAAATCACTTTATAAAATGCAGGAAATTTTTCTAAACGGAAAACAAACCAGAGAAGGGGTTCAAACGGGAAAGTATAGTGGCCAAATATTCGATATACTACCACAGTATCTAAAAGTAAGCAAGAAAATATGTGTTGAATTGTTTTGCCTCACTGTCTTTGGTTAGATCATTCTATTCAGCTCTACTTCCCTCTTGACCCACTCTACTCATGAAAACCCTTCAAGGTTTCCTTATAGAGATGTAAGGCCACTTTGAGGGCACCTTATGCTTTACACTGCAGATAAGAATGGTTACCTCCTTCCTGCCCTGCCAGGTTGCTTTTAATATCTATTGAAGGCAAGCCCATCACATAAATAAGAGTTATCCAATTTCTGGCTTCCTCCTAGTTAACCAAAACCTAATCCTAAAGCAGGAAGAATGAGATTACGTAGTTAATGTTCAGTATCCTGCTGCTAAGTTGTAAAGTCATGACAATAGATGTGTTAAACTTTCCATGATGTGAAGTAGAATTAATGAAAGTACTGGCTTAACTTGATAACCCATTCCTTCTCCTTGGATGTTAATGCAAACACAGGTCTTCCGATATTAGAGTACTAACCCTATCCCTGTTTCTTGGCGTGTGCTCCAAAGAGCACTAACATCAGAACCAGCTGGTGCTCTTATTTTAAAGCAAGACCTGCACTCTTGACCTGCTAACAATTATTCCCTGGGTATTCTGATATAGCCAGGAACAGACACGACCACAAATGTTATCTTCCAATGATTAAATTCACAGGGAAAGGACCAAAGTAGTCAAATGGCAACGGAAATTGTCTTTGACTAAGTATCATGTAATGGCTGTATTTCCTCTGCAGTGAAGAGGAAGATATTCTCATCTCTACCATCTTAAGCATCTTTTTTTTCTTGGACTTTCTCACATAGAATTTGCAATACCAAGCAACAATTTTTTCAGTTTACTGCCACCTTAACCATTTCAACCAACATTAGTTTTGATCTGTCAGTCTCAGTCTACATCTCTAGTGTAATTGGAACTACTGTTTCCAACACAATAACCCTAAATAAGGCAACGATACCAGTGTGGTTGTGTGTGATGGGTGGTGGGGAGAGGGAGCAGGACTTAACAGACTGTGGGTGCTGTATGCACAGGATAAGGTGTGCTGGATTCTGTGTTATGTTGGGTGGAAAGATGGAGGAGAACATAGGCAGAAGGTATATATGTTTCGTAATTGGCTGTGAGACAAGCTTTATCATGCAGGGAAGTGCTGTGCTTAGAGAAGCAGTAGAGGCTGCACGGAAGAGGAGTTGGCTTAAGGTAGTGGGTAGAAGCAGAGGGGGTGGCTGCAGGCTGGAGTGAATGAGCTATGTGAATGTAAAACCATCAGCTCAGAAGCTGAGCCCATCCTGCTAATAGAGGTGGTGGCTCCATTGATTCACCAGAAACGTGGTGACAGACACTCAGAGAGGCCACTTGTGGATCCTTGAATAAACCTGTGTACACAGCCTGAATCTGCATCTTTTGTATACCGTCTGTAAGACTCAGAGACACAGATTAATTAATGGCTACAGGAGCTTTGGTGGTGCCACTAACTTCAAGGACAGGCGAGCTTATATTATATATACACATACAACCAGTGGTGATAACCAGAGCCAGGCATCCCAGGGCAGCCGTAAATCGGCATGGATTTTTCTAAAGTAGCTCAAAGTCTTAGCCCATCCTAGCTCGCCTCAATCAAACCAGTTCCAATGGCAAGGTTGACTTATTTTGATAAAGTCTTTAACTTTTAGACTTTTTTCAAGTCTTTTAAGTAAATAGTGTTACTCACAAGACTGCTGTTCCCCATACTGCGTTTTATCTATAGACCAGGCCCACACCGTGGAAACTGGTGGTGACTCGGCAGTTGTGAAGACAAACATGGCAGCCAAGCTCGAGAGACCTGAGGCTGCAGTGACCTGCACAACTGCAGGGAGATTTGTATGACTCTGAGGACACAGCAGTATAACATTCAAGCTCTCAGATCAACTCGGAACTATGTCCAGTGGGATATTTTTGGTTTTGAGCCATGTTTTTGATGAGCATCTAGACAGAAAGTGCGCGGTTGAATTTTTTTAGATAACAGATGGCTCAGAGGTGGAGGGATGGCTCTACTTGCCTTTAATTCTGAGGCTTTCACAACCAGGAAGAACCAACAGCATGGGTTTTGCTGCTCTTCCTCTTAGTCCTCACAAAGTAGAATTCTGTTTAATTCAGATTCTGGGAGAAAAACAAGATTGGGCGAGGGAAACCTTGTCCCCTTGGTGGGAACACGTATTGGTTTCTAGGATATTCGCATACTAGGGGATAGCCAAGACTCTAAATGTGTAGTTTTAAAATTTCTATTAAACTTCACAATAGCTAAGCCTTTATTCAAAACCAATCAACAAATATGTTAGACTTTAAGTTTTGCTCTTTACCTGTTTGCATTGGGATTTACTGTACCCATAATTGTTATCAGCATGCGAGGCATGACTCCTCCAGGTAAAGCCAGGTTATAAGGCACAGTCTGGGATGAAAAAAATATATAGATATCAATAAAGATCTCAGGGAAAGAAAGAAAAAAACATCGCTGAAGTTCAATCACTATTAATATGTGTGAATAACACATAACCCTCTTTTGAACAGACTCTCGGGCCACCTTGCCCAGGAAGAAACAAGGCTCTCTACACGCATAACTAATAACCGAGAATACAGCTGTCAGTTAACAGATGCTGAAGGCAGGACATTGTCCTTTTTGGACTGTAACTGTTATTACTAGGGGCATCCCAACCTATAACTCATTCACTTAGACTGTATTTTGAAAGGGCTGAAGCTAGACCTTGCAATCAACATTAACAATTTTGTGCCACTCCTGAGACCCTTGTCACATAACATACTTCATCGTGTCACATTCTAGGGCTTCTGGGTTCTCATGCAATCTACTCACAGCACCAGCAGAGTACTTTGTATGTGGCAGATAACTCAGTATTTGTGGAATGAACACCTTTCAGTTAACACATTCCCTAGTTTATTTCACAAATATGTATTGCCCATCTTTGTTCAAGGTCTATCTCTGGCTTCTTCTCTTTTTCCTTTATGCTTTTCTCCCCTGGGTTTCACTATCATCCAAGAATTTCAGCTCTAGCCCTGATCTGTACTAGTCGCATGCTCCCTACTCCTGGATTTGCTACTGGTGCTACACATCCAACAGGTATGAACTGGAAGTGTCTCTCCTGACCCCTCCCCCACTGGTCCCCTTCCTGAGTTCCTGGTTAGGGCTGACCCTTGGCTGGTGCTTTAGTTGTCCTACCTTGAAAAGCCAGAGTCATCTCTGACTCCTAAGACTTAACCGGTAGATCCTGGGGTTCTTCCTTGGCAATCTCTCTCCTATCTGCAATCTCTTCCTTTCCACAACCTCCATGTCCCCCTCTGTCTGCAGTGGACTAATGATCTGTGGTCTAGGCCCTGCCCAGTGCCACCCACACCCCCAATAGTTTCTCTGTGCGTTCCTCTGAGCTGCCCTAAAAGCAGATCAGATGCTACTTGTGCCATCCTCTACATAGTCCGGAAAGGGTCTGCGCCCAGGCTGTTACGGAACTTTGTCCTCATATCTGCTTAGTTCCCAGCTAGGCTGTGAGTCTAGAAGGGAAGGCGCTGTGTCTGAGATGTGTCTGGAGCCCTACAGAGTGAAGGTTTTACACTTAGAATTTATTTACTAAAATGTGTTTTAATATACATGAAACGCCAATCCTTAGATCACAAAATTATCCTTGGAAGTTTTTTCAAATCTGGATTACTTTGGTTCCTCCGCATGCGCTCTCTATGCTCCTGGGCAAGTTATCTAACTACCGCTCATTTCCTCATGTGTGAAATGGGGCTAATAACAGTATCTTATAGGGTGGAAATGGGGTTAAATGAGATCATCCATGTAGAAGCACACTGCTGGCACATGTTATTTACTCAGTGTGTATTAATAATAGCCCAACTTTCTCCCGTTACTATGATCTTAACTTGATTTATATTCAAGCTGCTTTGCAGATGCCTTCAAAAGATGCCTTAGCTTCTCTTTACACATACTGAACTCAAAACAACTATTTTTTTTTCTATTGGAACAACACACACTGTGGCTGGTCTTTGAAAAGTGGCTCTAAGCAGTGAGTTTAAAGCTTCAGGTCTCCCTGAAGCCCTCTGCAGGTCAATACCCAGAACGAGCTCCCAGCCAGAGCACTGCAAAGTGATGGCACTACAGCCCAGACAAGTGCCATGTTCTTCATTAGCTTTGTCCTGGTCACAATCAAGTACATGAAATGACTAAGTCCATCTTACCAGCGGTCCAGCAGGGCTGGCACCCGGATAGGCCCCCGGCCCACTTGGTTGCCCGGGGTAGGCTCCTGGTGCAGTTGGTCCAGGATAAGCAGGTGCCGTTGGGCCAGGGTAGGCCCCAGGAGGAGCCTGTCCAGGTGTCTGTCCAGGATAGGCTCCTGGAGGTGCCTGTCCAGGGTAGGCGGCAGGGGGTGCCTGTCCAGGGTAGGCGGCAGGGGGTGCCTGTCCAGGGTAGGCGGCAGGGGGTGCCTGTCCGGGGTAGGTGGCAGGGGGTGCCTGTCCGGGGTAGGCCCCAGGATAGGCGGCCCCTGGGTAGCTCCCAGCCCCAGCAGGTTGGTTTCCCCATGGCCCAGGCCATCCTTGAGGGTTTGGGTTCCCAGACCCAGATAAGGCATCATTAAGCTGGAAAGAAAGATATAAACAATTCCTGGATAAAAACATTCACAAAAGCAAAATTTTCAGGAAAACAGGAATATGTGATCTAAGAAGTGGAAGGATATAGTGAAAGTATGAAACTCATATCATACAATTTTTTCCATCGTTAATAGCTTTCTTTGAGTTCCAAAAACTTAGACTTTGGGATTATATGTGCTTTATCAGTACATGTCTCCCATCATATCAGAATGTGGAGGCTTGCATTTTTGTAATTTGCTAAAAGTTAGAAGCTATCCATCCTCTCTGTAAAAGCACACGTTTTCTAATTGACATGAGAAAAACAATCACAAAACTCCAGATGCTCAGACTGCACCACACTTCCCATGGCTTAGCTTATTTCTCAGCTCCTGGCCTGTGGAATCTATCCCATCTGTCTCAGACCTTTCCGGAAAGGGGTTACCGTATTTCCCCATGTATAAGACACACCCTTTTTCAAAAAATTTGGGGTCTAAAAATTGGGTGCGTCTTATACAGTGGTTCGTAGATTTTTTTTTACTTGCATTTCCCGCTTTTTTCGCGCTTGTTTTTGTGCTCATACAACCACTGTATAAGACGCACCCAGTTTTTAGACCCCAAATTTTTCGAAAAAGGGTGCATCTTATATGTGGGGAAATACGGTACTCTCGGTGTGTCCCATCCTTCTCACAACCTGGCTTTCTTCCCAAACCTGTGGCTGGAATAACAAGACTCCAGCTAACAAGCCCTCATTGAGCAGGTGAGGCCAGAGGAAGCCACATAGTGGGATACTTAGAAGGAAAGTCGGGTGGTAAAAACAAAACTCGCAACCTGCGTGAATTTAGAATGTAAGAAAACAGACATATGAGAAAAACACTTACCGAAAAATTGTCTGCCATTTTCCTGAAGGGGAAAAAAAAAATAGGTTATCATTTGATCCGAAAAGACTTCACGGGTTTCCATTTAAATTTAACATCATAAATAGTTCATTGAGTAGTTCTAGTTTTATGGGCATTCTTCTAGCACAAGCAAGTATTTCCAAAATATGCCTAAATCCATGGCACAGAACCACAAAAATGTCTCATCCAAGGGCGGGAGTGCACTCCAGCCAGATTTCCAAACCCTATTTAACCCACAGCTTTAAACTCGAATCACCTTAGCCTGGGTTCTGAATCCTGGGACTAACAGGCTATACACTGACTGCAGGAGACAGAAGAGTGAGGAAGGGGACGTCCTGCCCCGTTCCTAGGTAACCAGCATAAACCGTCCTGGTTTACTTTCGTCCTCCTTCACCTTCCTTCCTGTGCTCCTTTCCCACCACCTCTTACGAAGAGTTCCGTGTGTTAACATCATCCACCTCCCCTCCCATTCCCACTCTCAGCCCCATGCCCTCTTCTGGGTTTTAGGAGGAAAGCAGAGTTGGTTGATTCTTGCTGAGATCTGAAAGACAATGCCCTCCAGACATAGTTGCTGCTGATTATTTATTTCACTTGCAAACATGTATGCCTGCTCTGCCCAGGCAGCGAGAGGGCTCCTCTCTGGATGTCAAGATGGACAGGCCAAGATCAAAATGATCAAAGGGTCCACAGGCCAGCAGGGATCACAAGTGATGGACGCTGTTGAGCCAAACGTGGGCAATGGGAAGTCTCAACCAGAACAATTACTTCTGGAGAGGAGGTGTTGTTTGAACTAAGCCTTGTAGGAAAGGTGAGATTGGGATGTGGAGCAATAAAGAAGAAAGCACAAAATGTGCCTTTTTTTTTTTTTTTAAGATACTTGCTATTCTAAATGAAATCTTTGGCAGTATAACAAACTAAGGTTAAAAAAAAAAGTTAGGCAGTGTGGAGGACACTATTTTGGGTAGGGCAGAGAGGATTTGCCTTGCCTACAGCTGCCTCAGGGCATGGCCTTGACACACCATTCTGCTTCCTCCTGCTCCTCCCCCTGTGCCAAGTCCTTAACTGTCCAGGGTGATGATACCGGCTCCCAGGGCAGACACTCCAACAGTAAGGGATGAGGGCAACTTCGGCCTCCTGAGGCCTGGGTGAGTTTTCCCAGCTCAGGATCACTTGTGCTATGGACAGAATTACCTGGACCTTAAACAATCACAATCTTTTTCCTTGAGTTGCCCACTTGTGATATTTACTCAATTATTTTTTAAAATGTCATTGCCCCAAGGAATCCAATAAGTGGCAACAACTTGATAGGTCCTAAAAATGTAAAATACTAGATTTTTAAATAAAAATTCAGACAGAGCTCCTCCTGGACTTAATGTGTGCTTCATGTACACACACCAGATAAATGTATTTTTGGCACATCTCTTTCTGAGCCTGGGCATTCTCAAACATATTTGGAAGCAGGTAGGTTATCACCACACCCATCTTCCAAGATGCGAAACTGCTGGCAGTTTGTCTGGGAAGTCACTGTGGCTCTTCCAGGGCTTACATTCACTGCATTTCCTTAGTATCTGACCTTTCAAAGCAAACTTTGGGTGCTCCTCTGCATGTGCTTCCCTCCCCAAAAGGTGACGGCTGTGGCCTAGAAAATTGTGCGGCTACCGCAGGAGGAGCTTAAGAGAAGAGTTGTTACAGAAAAGGAAAAGGTAGGACATTCCTTAAGTTAACAAAATAAAACCTCTCTCATTTTGGACACCAGTAGGAAATAATCTTGAACTTGATGGTGGGCAAAGAGCTTCGTTCCTTTGATTATACAAACTCTTCTTCCACTCCTCGGCAACATACTGAAGACCCAGCAATGACTTCATCAATGTTTTGACTTCTTTTAAATATCCCTATTGTGTAGGGACTTATTTCCAACCTCAGCACCATCTACATTACAGGTTGTGGGGGGCTGTCCTGTGCATTGTAGGATGTTTAGCACATCCCTGGCTTCAATACACTAGTCGTCAGTAGCACACACCCTCCTACCCCCCCAGCAATTGTGACAACCCAATATGTCTTCAGACATTGCCAAATATCCCTGGGGGAAGCTAGGGGAGAATACAAAACTGCCAGGTTGAGAACCACTGGTCTAGGCTAATTAGCATGTGTCTTCCTACATATATGTACATACACACGTCCATAAAAAACAAAAAGGTCATTTCGATTGTTAAAACTAGCTAAATGTATGCCATCAGCCTGATGAAGTGTCTTATTGACATAATTCCAATCAAACTAAAATGTGTTTAAAGGCTGGTTACAATCAGAAACCCACACAAAGAAAGCATTTCCAAAATTTAACATTTATTCTTTTCAAAGTCTCCGCTCAAGCATATGCAATTTATTTTCCAACCCGACCAAAACAATTTGAGAAACAAAGCAGATATCACTTTATTTCCACTGTTTCACATAACGCTTTGGATGACAGTTTGGTTAGTGTTGTGACACATTAGACAAGCTCATTAGAATAATTACACCCTGCATTTGTGTGGTGCTTTTCAGTTTACGAAGCACTTTCACATACCTTACCTATTTTGATTCTGATAATAATCTTATGAGATTGACAGGGGAAAGTTAATATCCCCACTTTAGAGGTGAGGAAACCGAGGATCAGAAAGCTAATGT